TGTGCAATTTTTTAAATCTAAAGCTTATTTAAATAGTCTTAATAGATCTTTATTATTTAACAATTATTTAAAAAATTAAAATCATTTTTAGGTCTTAAATCAAAAATGGTAAAAAATCTATGACAGCAAGCTTTGCAATATCGATATGTGATTAAAAGAAATCAATAATAAATTATCAATTGAAAAGATTGATCAGTGATAACACCGTAAGATACTATATAGTATGATAGGTTGATGCGTAAGCGCCACCCATCTTAAGTGTGGTTCGAAGTGATAAGTAAATCGACTAAATGAATCTATGTTTAAAAAAACATCTTAGTTTGTTTAGTTACTGCAGTTTAACTCTTAAATAAAATTTTTAGAGTAAATTCTTAGTTATTGATATAAGTGCGTTTGAATATAGATTATGAAGTAAATAAAAGCCGAATTAAATTTTAGTCCTAATATACTTTGATTTAGTGTCAACATAACCTAGCAGTGTTGTAATTTGGACTAATTAAAAAAATATGGATAGTAATTTTTAATTTAATATATAAAATTGGACTATGTTCAAACCTGCCTAAAAATATGGATATAGTCTAAATAACAACACTGTAACCTAGCAAAGATTTCAGATATGTATATTAAAGCCATAAAGCTTTATTTAGGATTAGGAATAATCTGACGCATGAAGATAGTCATTATCGCGAGGATCTTCACAGCTAAGCTCCAAGGGCGTAGTTACAAAATCATTGTGGCTATTTGAGGTTATGAATAAAATAGGAAAGGAATAGATACGATATAAGATTAGGAGGAAAGATTGGAATCGATAGTGCCTTTTTCCTTCGTTGCCTGACTTTAATCTGGAACTTTCGTAGTGCTCCCACCTAATCCTCCCAAGAAAGAAAAAGAATGAATAAAGGAATGAATGAAAAGGGATGCTCAAGAACTTGCTTGCTTGCTTGATTTAAATTAAGAACAATTATGAGAAATTAAAAATGAAAGGGAAATGGAATAGTTCGATGATTTGCTTACAGACGTATTGATGGTTCGCTCGATAACTTGCTTCATGATGCTCATGTGATGTTTTGTACTGTGATGTTTATTGATAATTGAAGGAATTATTTATTTAAGAATTAAAGTTTGATGATGGAGCAGATAGACTCGTTCGATAACTCGCTCTCTGACACTTGTATATATAAATAAAAATTCACAGTCGCTGTATATTATGCACGTACGTCCTGATTGTCTTCTTTTTTAGCCACGTGATCTTGTTTGTAATATGATAGTTAAGAAATCCTGTAAAACATAAATATAAATGGTGGGCATGTAAAGAGCCACAGCCCGGCATAACTCCCATTGTGTTATCCCATTAATCAACAAATTAATCTGAGCGAGAATAATTATCGTAGCAGCGATTCAGAAGATCATAAACAATAATGGTAATATTGGAATTTGTACATTAGCATATTCTCTAAGCGTGTTACTTAAAGCTCACGTTATTCTTGCGACTTTTAAATTTTTTTGCACTCAGCATATGTTAAAATGTCTGAAGACTTTATGAAAAATTGGAATAATCAATTTGCAGAACAATCTGCAAAGAAAATTTGTTCAGACGAAATTGCAAAAAATCACTGGTTCTTATTACAAATTAAGTTTAATTGCCAAAAATCTATTGATTCAGATAGAATGCTATGTCTTGGTTATTGTTACGAATATGGAATTGATGTCGAAAAGGATGAATATAAGGCATTTGCTTACAACCAAAATTCGGCAGAAATGGATAATCCCAACGGAATTTACCAAGTTTGCCATTATTATTATAGGACCCCGAAATATACATAGATAGGTCAGGTATGAGTTTGCTTATTTTTGAGGGTTTTTATGCAGATCTTTTCTATTTATAGTAATTTTTTTGCTTATTTTTGAAGTTTTTCTGCAGATCTTCCCTTTTTTAGAAATGCTTAGGCTTAATTCAAGTTCAAGCAAAAAAAGTATAAATACAACCCGTATACGATAAATTTTTTTGGGAGCAGCGCAGAGAGCAGCTCAGAAAATAGATTTGATAGATTAGCGGCGCAACCAAAATTCAGCAGATCGGTTCGAATTATGGGTCGAAATGCACCGGAATGGGCCGACGTTGATTAATTTTGCCCAAGGTCACTAAAAAAGTTTACTAATGAAACCATAGCCTACTCACTAAGTAAAGCTGCCCAGATGAAATTTTACTCTAATACAGTTATATAAATTACATTACATGTAATTTTTACGTAAGTTTCAGAAAATTAATTTCATGTAATTGTCATCACATCATACATAAAGTACCAGATTTACAAAAGTTCGGCAAGTATTATTGCATCATTTGATTTGTACGATCCGAATTGTAACTAGGGTTGTTAATTTTACGTAACGGTAATTTTGCGTAATTTTGTGTAGGTTTTTGTAAAACGGTTTCCATGTATTTAGTAAAAAGGTTTGAAACTCGCAAAATTACACAAAATTACATGAAAATGCATATGGGCGGATTTTTTTGTGAAACTTTCAAAAACGATCTAATTCTGGTCAAATTTACAGATCATTTGGCCCTGGCTTATCAGTTTTAAAACTGATAAACCAGGGCCAAATTATCTGCAAATTTGACCAGAATTATATAGTTTTTGAAAGTTTCACAAAAAAATCCGCCCATATGGTAAGATTGTAAAATGTAATTTTCAATTCTAATTGTAACTCCTGAATCGCCGAAAATTAACATCTCTAACGTCGCCCAAAAATTCAGTTACGTACCGGAATTTAAAATTAAGCATCTGGTACTTATAGATTAAGCATCTGGTGCTTAAATAGCGATTTATTTATACTAATAACTTATCGATATAGTTTTTTTTTGTAATAAAACAATATGCAAATTGTATTTTTATTTAATTTTCACTATATATATTTATGTATATTCTTCTTTTACCAATACTGCATCGATTAAATTTCATGACGTTAAAACCATCGCCCATAAAAATTATTTGAATTACACCTTTTCCAATTTAATAAATAATTATTTTGACGATAAGTCTGTCAAAATTAAATTTCCATAGTTGGCAAAATAAATTTTCATAAGTGGCAAAATTATTTGAATTCCCTATATCAAAAACATTAAAAAATTATTTTTTGTAAAAAATGATTTTGACACCCATGTATATGTTTTTCTTGAAGTTTTCGCAGCTTCAAACATTTCTAAGACATTTATCATTTTTTTAATGGGGCTCAAATTTTTTTCAATTACGTTTCACTATTTTTCTCAAAGATGTAAAAAATATGTATGATATAAATAACTTATATAATGATAAAATAAATAAATAGCATTTATCATTTGTAATTTCTACTTCACTGGCACTTGAATCATATTCGCCCATACTTAAATCCATCTCGACTTCCTTATCATCACAACATTCCTTTTCAGAATTAGCCAATGCGATGCGTAAATCGCTTGTTGGGGTTCATAAAAGAATTGATGTTTTTATTACATAGAACCTTATTACTGTATTAAAAAAAGTGTTATCCATACATATTTCCTAGTGTTGTGAAAGGAGCAAGCCGATTTTTAAGAATGTATAGCAATGCTATCAATATCAATAAGTTTTTTTAAAAAAAGTAAAGTAACCATACTTCATATTTCGCTTTTTACTTTCTTTGATATGCACTAAATATTTAAGACAGTCATTGAATTTTGTATAAATGAATATTTGTATAAATAATTCAGCTATATGAGTTTTACATATTACAACAGCCCATTTTTACAATTTTTCAAAAAAAATTTCTATTTGATTTTAAATAGATAACTATTTAACACAAAAGTTTGTCATAAGTAATAAGTGCTAATTGTATAGTAAAAAGAGCCACAAAATGAACTTGAAGCCATTTAAATCCGACTTACTCAAAATAATTTACATGTAAAAATGGGCTGTTTTAATATGTAACACCCCATATATGAATAAATAATTTATAAGATGTTTTATATTTTTGGGTCACATTATTATAGCAACAAGAACTAAATATCGTTAACTTGAAAAGCAACAAAGTACTTTATTAATTGATGATAGGTCTGGTGAAGACCACTCTTTAGATGATGTTTCTGATAATAACGTGCAGTGATATAATTTCAAATTTTGGCCTATTATGCTTAATTTGGGCCAAGATTAGAAATGAATGTTTATGGGCTATTACATAAAAATACAAAACACGATATTTTTGCTGATGATTATAGTGGAATAATAATAGTAATATTGAAGAAAATAATTTTAATAATATTTACAATAGTGATAAAAATTAATCAGAAATCTAATTTAACTGAAGTTTAATGCAAGCAAAAAGAATAAAGCCTCAACTATTCTAAAATTATTTGTTAATAAAGTTGCCAATTGTTATACAGTTCTTAGTTATTAACAATAAAATCTCATATTCATAATAAAATTTCATATTCATAATAAACATCAGATAACTAAATAAAAATCATTATATAAATCAAAAAACACCATTAAATAATATAAATAGATCAAAACTTAATCAGGCAGGTTAATATAAGAAATAACTATATACATTATCGACGATTTTAAGGTTTCAATTATCGAGCTTGATTTTTAGAATCAATTTGCAGCCCTACATCCAAGATCGCTCATTCTTCGGCGTTTCTCATATCTCATTTTTCAGAATCATTGTTCCATTTAAAGCATCACCTTTAGCATTTTCAAATACAACTCAAATGCCGTCCTTTGATCTTTAGCTGCGTTTATGTCATTCCGATAACACGATCCAAGACGGTTCCGATCAATTCACCGACAGTCACTTCACCGAATGCTCATTTAGCTGACATTACATAGGGTTAGGTTAAGCATTTGATAAGTTATAGGTATATATTTTTACTAAATTTCACCTGGGTGATGTCGGCTAAATGAGCTGTCGGTGAAGTGATTGTCAGTGAAATAATACGGGCCCGATCCAAGATCGTATTGTCTGTTCAAGTTTTATCAGAATGTTTAAAGACTGTTCAAAACTTTATTTCCATCAGCTACAGGTCTTACACCTATACATTTCATCGCCAATTCCATTTCGGTATCAGTTATCCATGGTCCCAAACTAGTATCAAATGTCTTGGTAAAATCTTTCGTTTTTATCTGATGTTTGGGAATCTCAAAATGCACATGTACCTACTCTAAACTAATTAATTAACATAATCTAACATCTACCCTAATGTCTGCCCTAACGCCAACCTTAACACCTTCACTAGCATTTACGAAGTAACCTACATCTCGGAAATGCTATTTTGTAACAAACAAGTTCCATCACAAGGCCTACGAAAACTTTCGAACGAATGGAAGTAAGTGACGAAATGAAAGATAAAAGCAGCAATAAAAAAAAGTAAATACTTACGAAGAACTGATGTAAACCAACAGCACATTAACGACGAAAGAAAGAACAACGACACTAAAATGGTCAATACCGGCAATAACTGCAAGAAGAAACACCGAAATGGACGCCACCAAAGATGAAAGAGAGAAAACATTGACAAGAGTGGCATCAACGACAACTATTGTGCTAGAAGATATAAAAATAATACAGTAATAAGTAGTGATGGTAAAATTAATATCACATGATACCGATGATAATATCCGATGCACAGTTTTATAATTGAAAAAAAAGAATTTTAGCTTAAATATTTTTAAATTTTACAGAATTTTTTTTGCTCTATTTAATTTAATTTTACATAGGATTATTAGTTATAGAATATATTTTGGTATTTAAAAAATTTTTATTACCTTATTTTAAGTTCTTAAAAATTTTTTGTCGCGATCAAAAAATTACTCGATGCGAATTTGTGTTCTGTGCGCACATAGGTTTTCTATGCCAGGTTTTGTCGATCATTGTGGCGCAGGCAAATCTTTTAAAGTTTATTAATGTTAGGGTTAGCATTTAGAAGAAGGTTAAAAGGTAGGTGCTTATATGCAAGGAATATTTTTTGTTAAAGCACCAAAGGTTGTTTTTTATGCAGGTTTTTGAGAAATAAGTAGTGATGTGCAAATCGAAGATTTTTTGAATTTACTGCGCTGCCTGCGCAGCCTGCTTCCTCTAGGAGTCTAGGGTTCATGATTATGTATATATGTAAAACATCTACTTCATATATATAAAGTTAGGCTCCCATTATTTTTTGTTAGTGCTTCAAGGTCAGTTTAAACATCA